CCAGGCGCCGAAGCGGTAAGAGATGCGCCGGGCTGACCGCTGGGGAGAACCGGGTGGAAGAATGGAACACAGAAGTGTCCCTCCGAGAGCTCCGTCATATTTTAACCCATTTTTATGTTAAATGCACTGGGTTTTACCATGGTTTTACCCATCGACATATACCCTATTAATTATTTTACCGTATATTACATCTAAATTTCATGGTTAAACAGTAAATGTTAAAATGGTAGTTCTTTGATAAGCTCAGCTAGTGCAAGAGCGGCAGTGACCTAAAATACATAATGTTGAGGGTCTGCCCTCGTCAGAAATAATCACTGTGCAGTGATTTTCTCCAAAAATTGTGCTTAAATTGCTCTGAAAAAGCAGATAATAACATCAGAGCCAAGAGACACTTCATTTCCCATGATGCTCGGCACACGGAAGCATTGTGATGACGTCACTGCCAAGGCGGAGAACGAACAACAACAACAACCAGCTGAAGGTTATAAATCTCAGCGAAAACGAAACTTAAGTGTTCTTTGTCCAGTATCACTGGCTGTAAGGATGCTCATCACACGCTCGAATCAACGTGAGCAGATCAGACACCGGACCGCTGAAAGCAGGATTTGAAAACCCAGCCGATCTGCTCGCTTCTGCTCAACTTCAGCTGATGTGAAGGAAACGAGCGGAGCTCCTATCAAACCTCACAGAGACGCTGTAAGTTACAAACTCAGCACAAAAAGAAACGTTGCTCTTTGTGTCCAGCCAGTTGGAGAAACAATCGTGCGGAGAAACAACGGAGAAATCATCTGACCTGCAACGCGAAAGAAAAGGGATGCCTTTTGGTTCGCTCACGCAAAAGTTTGATTTTATTTTATCTCCTCTCCTCTTCTCTTATCTTTTCCGTTTCTTATAGTTCACAATAAGCAATTACACCGTGCATTGCTTCAATTTATCAGACGGTTTTTCTCTTTTCCGTATCAAAATCCGTTCGCCGGGTTATTTGGTAAAGGGTAAACTGTTTATTTGTCATCGTTAATATCTTTAAATGAATTTCAGCTGTGGCCAGGCTGTTTAAACTGTCAGATGTTAATTTACGAGTGACCTTTGTTGTTTATCAATCTTTCTGAAGTGTTTAAGTTACTGTGAAACTGACTTTAAGCTAAAAAAACTTTTCCTTTGTATTAGAGCTGGAGACAGACAACTCATACACACACACAGCTCAAAGACACTTTTACTCCCTGCGCACCTGGGGAAACAAAGACCCATTCATTTACACACACACACTCACACACTCATACGTGTTTTTAGGGTTTGTGGGGACTCACCACTGAAACAAATCCATCACCTGGGGACATCCTCCATTTTACACACATTTTCAATTATACCATTGTTTTGCATTATTAATCTCCTTGTTTAATTAAATGTTATAAAATTCAGACTTTGTCTCAAGAGACTTGCTTGCGTTGGTGTGAAATCTCTGCTCCTGATTCCACGACTTCAAGAAAGACTGATAAGGTTTGGATTCAATTTTCCCCGGTTAAAGGGGTGGTGCCCCGTAGATACCTAAAGAGTATCTTAATTAATTAATACATCGGTAAATATTCCCATATTTACAGAATTTATTGAAGAATCCAAAAGTAAGTAAAGCTTACTAATTATTAGCTCCTAATTAGCCCAACAATAAATATAACTTTACTTACTGGAAAAAATGAAGTGGAGACTCCTTGGGCGCTCCATTAGTGCAATTAATACCACAGCAAGTCATTTTGTCCAACAATTGCACAAATAATATCCAAAAAGAATACACAAACGCTACAACTAATCGTCTAATTTCAGAGACTAAAAATCACGGAAAAGTTTTCAGGCGAGACCGAGGCTCTTCTGAGGCCTTTTCCCGGAGCTCTGTGGTCACATGGGTCTGAGGCGGCGGTCACATGGGTTGGATGTTCATTAATTATACAGAATTTTAGGCTTTAATACACTTAAACACAAGAGTGAGAAAAAAATTCATCCCCCTCAGAGTTGTCATGAGTGTAAACTAGATCATTTAAACAAAAAACATGTTTTGGAACCAGGCTGTAAACATGTTTATTTCTGCTGTGAAATTGGCATTTTTAACATGGGAGTCAATGAGGATTTGCTCGCTTCTGACACCAGCCCCCAGCGGATGAGGGTGGGACTGCAATTTATTTCACTTCCGGGTTTGCTTCAATTTTTGACCGCATTGTGGGGGCTTGGGAGAAACAAAAAACACAACCTGCACCAAACCTAGGTACATCTGAGAAGGTAGAAGTTTACAACACTGTTGCATTAAGGATTGGCTACAAATATATGAACTGATCAATATGATGTGATAATTCCATGTAAATATGAAATATTTGGCCTTTGAATGTTTAATCAGAAGACTTGAGATTCTTGACTTATTCGGGGAACATACAGAAACAAACACAATTATTGTGCTGCAAGTCTTTTATCTCTTAAAAATGTTTAAAAATATGTTTTTGTCTAACATGTCTGGCTGCCAGTCAAATTCAATTTAATATCCTGGTTCTGGTTTTTAGAGCCTTACATGGACAAGCTCCATCATACATTGGTGATCTTCTCAGTCCCTACATCCCCAGCAGGTCCCTGAGGTCCATTGACCAAAACCTACTGGTTGTGCAGCGCACCAGGCTCTGGAACTCTCTCCCCCTGAACCTGAGATCATTGGACTCAGTGGTCTTCTTTAAAAAGCAGCTGAAATTTCACCTGTTCAGGCTGGCTTTTATGTGACCTTCATCATCACCCTCCTTATTCTGCTCTTTCTACCTATTTTGCCTTTCCCGGGATCCACTGATTTCTCTCTTTCCTCTTCGTTTTCGCATTCCCTTTCCTTACATTTTTAATCACAATTTTTAGAATTTTTCAAAATCTTTTTTATATTTGAAATTTTTTGTTCTTGTGAAGCACCTCTGATTTTTATCTTGAGAGAAGCTATATAAAAATTGTTTCCTTTTCTTTCTAATTAATATAGGCCATTTTAGTGGATGTTATTGTTCCTTTATGCCCAGATCAAATCAAATCAACTTTATTTATAGAGCGCTTTCACATGGCCAAAATGGACAAAGCGCTGTACACCAATAAAATGCAACACAATAGGACAGAGATATGACCATTAAAACACATTAATAAATCCATTAAAATACACTAAGAAATCCCTGTAAAATACCGTAATAAATCCTATGAAAATACAATAAGAAATCCATTTTAAAATACAGTACAAAATCCTGAGTGCCAGTTCACAGTCCATATCCAGCCTACTTCCTCCAACTTCAAAGTCCAAAAGCCAGCGAGAACAGATATGTTTTCAGTCTTCCTTTAAAAGTTTCTAATGACGTGGCCTGTTTTACATCAGCTGGCAGCTCATTCCAGAGACTTGGTCCAAGTACTGAAAAGGCTCGACTACCACGAGACTTCAGGCTGTACCTAGGCACAGTTAGTTATCTCTGGTCAGCTGACCTAAGGGAACGCACCGGGACATGTTAGTGGATGATATCAGAAAGATATTTAGGAGCCCCTGTGTTTAACGCCTTAAACACAAACAGGATGACCTTAAACCTGATGCGATAAAAAATAGGGAGCCAATGCAAGGCATGTAGGACTGGTGTTATATGTTCAGACCTCCTGGTAGATGTTAACAACCGAACTGCAGAGTTCTGAACCGCCTGGAGGCGTGCTACTGGAGATCATATCTGTAGAACTCATAACTTCACAGGAAATTTTTGGCCAAGCTGTGTGATCGGTATCAGTAATCAACACTCTTGGAATTCGTGATTGGAAGCAAAAAAACTTGATCGGAGCATCCCTAGATATGGCTTTTCACATGTATGTACATTTTATTTACATAGCACTCATCACAGACAGAAAATCACATGGTGTTTCACATAGATCAAAACAAATCATTAAGTCATAAAATCATAGTGATCTTAAAACAGAAATAAAAATCTAAGTCACATATTTATAAAATACCATTAAACAAATGAAAGATGATTACAAATTTGAGTTAAAGATAAGAAAATACATTTAGATATAGCAGCTTTGAATGAAAGGGTCTTCTGCTGTTTTTTTTTTAAAAGTGTCCAGACTGTCAAGACTACGTAAGGCTAAAAGGAGGACCACTCCAATGTCAGGGTGCAACAGTCTGGAAGGAGCCATCACCTGGACTTCTATAATTGGTCTTTGGAACTTCTAGAAGGTTCTAGTTTGTGGACCTGAGGGCTCGGGTTGGAGTATGAGGCTTTAGCAATTCAATGATATGTGAGTTCTCGTGTGTGTAGTCAGGGAACTACTGACACTAAAACATTTACCACAAGTTTTACATGAATATGGCTTCTCGCCTGTGTGAGTTCTCATGTGTGTAGTCAAAACAGTACTCTGTGAGAAACTTTTACTACAACTTTTACATTGAAATGGCTTCTCACCTGTGTGAGTTCTCATGTGTGTAGTCAAGGAACTACTGACACTAAAACATTTACCACAAATTTGACATGGATATGGCTTCTCACCTGTGTGAGTTCTCATGTGTGTAGTCAAGTGACCACTGTGTCTAAAACATTTACCACAAGTTTGACATAAATATGGCTTCTCGCCTGTGTGAGTTCTCATGTGTGTAGTCAAAACAGTACTCTGTGAGAAACTTTTACTACAAATTTTACAGTGAAATGGCTTCTTACCTGTGTGAGTTCTCATGTGTGCAGTCAAGGAACTACTGTCACTAAAACATTTACCACAAGTTTTACATGAATATGGCTTCTCGCCTGTGTGAGTTCTCATGTGTGTGGTCAAAGCAGTTCTCTGTGAGAAACTTTTACTACAACTTTTACATTGAAATGGCTTCTCACCTGTGTGAGTTCTCATGTGTTTAGTCAAGGAACTACTGACACTAAAACATTTACCACAAGTTTTACATGAATATGGCTTCTTACCTGTGTGAGTTCTCATGTGTTTAGTCAAGTGACCACTGTGTCTAAAACATTTACCACAAGTTTGACATGAATATGGCTTCTCGCCTGTGTGAGTTCTCATGTGTGCAGTCAAAGCAGTTCTCTGTGAGAAACTTTTACTACAACTTTTACATTGAAATGGCTTCTCACCTGTGTGAGTTCTCATGTGTTTAGTCAAGGAACTACTGACACTAAAACATTTACCACAAGTTTTACATGAATATGGCTTCTTACCTGTGTGAGTTCTCATGTGTGTAGTCAAGTGACCACTGTGTCTAAAACATTTACAAGTTTTACATGGATATGGCTTCTCGCCTGTGTGAGTTATGTGTTTAATCAAAGCAGTACTCTGTGAGAAACATTTACCACAAGTTTTACATGGATATGGCTTCTCACCTGTGTGAGCCCTCTTGTGCCTTTTTTGTTTTTTATCATCTACACTGTCTCTGTGATCTTTGGATTGGCATATTTTATTACGTGTCAGTTCTTCATTGCTGTTTGATTCTGAGTTTTCTTTCCTGCATCCACCCTGATCTTGGTTCTCAGCTTCTTTAGTACTCTGACACAAGGGTTGGTTCTTGTTTGGTTCTGGTTCATGACAGTCTGTTTCTTCAGAAGGAGAAGGCTCCATGAAGGTAACAACTTCCTGCTTCAGAAGAAACTGCCCTTCATGCTGATGGATAAGGAGTTCTTGTTGTTCCTCTTTCATCAGTGGAGGTTCTGGTTCCTTCTGGTCCAAACTGGAGGTCCATTTCTGTTTAGAGAGCTGCTGGTCAGTCAGAACCATCTTGCTTTCCCAGACATGATGCTGTGGAAGTTCTGGACAGGATAAAAGACAAAACAAAATGTAGATTAATGTGAATAAAAAAAATCTCTCGTGTTTGGACAAAGCTTCTCATTCAACATGTTTTCTTTATTTTCATGACCATTTACATTGGGCGATTCTACCTGAAGGCATTAAAACTATGAATGAATACATGTGGATAGGGCTGAAACGATTCCTCGAGTACCTCGAATAATTCGAGTACAAAAAATCCTCGAGTCAAATTCTCTGCCTCGAGGATTCGTTTAATTCATGTTTAATTAATTCATGGCTTTGCAATCGCCTGGGGTCATGTTTCACCCGGACTGAAATAAGTGACGCACATGCCCACTGGGCTGAATGCACAGGCGAGTAGCGAATATAACTTAACTTTCTCTTAAGCCGTGGCGGACAACTTGGACCCCGGTGGAGTGCGAAAAAGACAGAAAAAGTCAAAGGTGTGGGACCATTTTTCACGTTGTAAGGTGGAAAACGTAGTCCAGTATAAATACTGTAAAATGGATTTAGCCTACCACAACACCACATCCTCCGTGCTGCAGCACCTGTAAATGTCACTTCTGCAAGCGAACTCGGAGCCTCTACAAGATAATGCTTTTTGGCTTGTATTTCTATATATTCTGCGGACACTGTGCGACTTTTTCGTTTGTAGCACTCAAGTTTCAGCTCACACTCTGCATCTGGTAGCAACACGTCGGACTTAAAATGTGCTAAAAATAGCATTTTTACACAATATGTCGGACTTTTTACCGTGTTGTTATTGATGTCCGTTGTCCCTCAGGATTGCTGCAGGAGAACACGGGTATTTATGAGTGGCGGAGGAAAACGAAAGAAAGTAAATAAATGTTTTGTGATCAGTATAATTTGACAAAACCATGGCAAACATGCTTTCTCGACAATCCTTGTTATTGTGTGAGAAAAAAGGTGTAGAAATTAAAACGGACGTGTGTTAATAGGGAAACAGCCGGCGAGCTGTTTGCGCATGCGCCGTGAGCAGTTCTGGTTCTGTTTGGGCCGCAGCCGCTTGCAGCGCTACTTCAACAGTTATCCTCCTAGTTTTTGTCTGGCTTGCAGGCTAGCAGATTCTCGCACGAGGGGAAAATCGGCTCAGGTTGTATACTTATTTTTTGCACAGGCATTTGTTTACTGTGAAGTAAAGTTGAAGTGCTGAAGTTTTGCAAACTAATTTTGAATAAAATGAAGAATAACTGGCAATTGCTTGCTCATTTTAAGAGATCTTTCATAATTATAACATGCTATTTGATATAATGGTTTACAAACACAAAAGGGTAATTTATTAGAGTACTCGATTAATCGAAAAAAAGATTCGATAGAGTACTCGATTACAAAAATATTCGATAGCTGCAGCCCTACATGTGGAGTTATGCACTTAACCAAAACGGTGAAATAACTGAAAACATGTTTTGTATTCTATTTTCTTCAAAATAGTCGCCCTTTGCTCTGATTACTGCTTTGCACACTCTTGGCATTCTCTTGATGATCTTAAAGAGGGAGTCACCTGAAATGGTTTTCCAACTGTCTTGAAGAAGTTCCCAGAGGTGTTTAGCACTTGTTGGCCCCTTTGTAAATGGTCATGAAAATAAAGAAAACATATTGAATGAGAAGGTATATATATATATATATACACCGTAAATCCTCTAATACAGGCTGGTATTCAATTAAAGGCCGGGTCTCCAATTTTGGCCGGTGTCGGAGTCGGCGGAGGTGAATAGTGGCCGGTCTCTTATTGTGGCCGGGTGGAATGTGGTAACAAGCAAGTACGGGGGCGGTTGTGTCATCGTCTCACTTTTGATTTGCCAGTGAAAGACCGCGAGGGTAACTTTAACCGTGCGGAGACGAAGAGGAGGCGAAAATTTGATATCAAGTTCAAAGAGAATGTGCTGATTATGCTGCAGAACACTCTGGGGAGCAGTAGCAGGGGTTGTATGAACTAGTCAACTTCACTATAGTGCAGGGGTCGGCAACCTGTTCCCATGAAAGAGCCATTATTACCCGTTTCCCACAGTAAAGAAAACACTGCAGCAGCCGCGGCGTTGTGGGCGGGGCCTACCATCAGACAGCAGCCGGTACCGGCTGATGTACGTCAAAGTTATCTTTCATAAGAAGATAATCAATAAAACAATTTATATAAAATGGATCCAGAAGTTGTAGCCCGTCTCTGCCTACAATATTTTGATATTTTTCACCCTGTTGGTGGTTTTACTGAGCAGGTGCCACTTTTGTCATACGTTTCTTTTTAAAAGAAAGCAGCATTTTCTCCAAAAACTGTGTCATCTGCGCTCTGAAAAAGCAGATAATAAATTCCAGTGCCAGCAGACTCTATGTCCCATGATTCTTTGCGGCCGGAAGCAACGTGATGACGTCACCAAAGCGACGTCGAACCCCGGAACCCACACAGTTTCCTCCCACCCGCTGAGAGTCTAACCCCGGGTTTCCACAGGAGCCGTCAGCAGCATGTTAATGCAGCAGCATGTCTTGCTCGCATAAACTACTGCTTGACCCTTCCTACGAGACGCGAAGCAGCAGGGGAGCAGCTGTCACCGACCGAGCACGAAGTCACACGAGTGACTTCGTCAGTAAACACAACAACAAGCAGGAGAAAACTGCAATATGGCTCCAAAAGGTTTGTGTTTTATGTTCTGTCCGTTTTATAATCGCCAATACGGACCTGAAAAACAAAGGAGACCGCTAGCTAGGTGATAAGTTACTAACTGTGCGGCCCCGTGAGAAGTTTTCTTAAAAGTAAAGCAACCGGAAGGCAGTACGTTTCTTTATTCTGAAAATCTCAGGAGCTTCTCTCCATTTCCGCGTCAGATTTCCTGTCTTTACTTCCCCAAAAATGTCGAACTTGATCCGTTTCAGAGGCGTCGCACGTAGAAAACAGAACCGGCGCGTAAAGGCCGCGACATGCTGCTCCTGAGACGCGGCCGACTCGCGCTGCTGACGGTTCCAGTGGAAAAGGTTCTGTTGACCACAGCGGTTCCTATCAGTAGCTATGACGTGCTGCTGCAGTAACGTGCTGCTGACGGCTACTGTGGAAAGCCGGGGTAAAGACCAGCGCAGAACGAAACTTAACTCTCTTTTGTCCCAGTTTCAGCTGGTGTGAAGAGACTTCTGCTACGGCTCCGGACGCACGTCAAGAGGCCGAGCCGCTGAAAAGCAGCGGAAAACCATCAAATCTGCTCAGCGCGAACGTCAAGGACGCCTTGGAATTAGTTCAGAGAAGATTTTCTCTTTTTCTCTCTCCCTTTTTCTCCCATTTCTTTAATAGTCCGAATAAGCAATCAACCGCGTGATTGCTTCAAATTAAAAGACGGTTTTTCTATTTCCCGTACCAAAATACATCATCGGACCATCTTGAAGTAAGATCTTTTCTTTCATTGTAATATCTGAGTTGTTACGAGCTAAAGTGCCAGTCCAAGTTCCCTTGGCTAAGTTAGTCCTGATCCTCTATCAGAGAGAACTTCAACGTGATCGGAAGATCATGGAACTCCAGAGTATGCTAGCTGAAAAACAGCGAAATGGAAGGCTGATGGAGGACCAGGAGGACGACGACGCCAGCACCGATTCTGGGGAGACTGACGAAGAGACCCCGCCCTCCCCTACTGGTGAGAACACACAGTGGGAAAGGGGGTACACCACGACTCTGTCTATGTTGACCCAGAGTCTTCCCCCACGCTGGTACAAAAGAAAACTGGCAGAGCCGACTTGGACCTGTTCAGGGCGATCGGCGAAGAGCAATTGGCTTCCTCCACCAGAGGAAGCGAGGGACCGTCGTCCCGCAATAAAGGTAGGCCAACTTTTTCCAAGGTACCTGAGGTCAGGAAGACGCGGAGCGCGCCTCCTGATACATCCCCGTACGATAATCGACAGTATGTAGTTTTTGACTCTCTGAACGGACGCATGCAGCAGGGGAGAGATGAAACTTCTCTGTCCCAACCTTCGGCCCCGTTCCCTACACACTCTATAGGGTACTCAGGACCACCTAGGGGTCAAGGGCAGTCCGCCCTCGGACCCCAGGTTGGACCACCACCCTCACCTTCATGGCCTTCTCAATCAGTGAGAAGTCGACCAGCCGAGCGGCCCCTCTATTGGGACCGCTCCCCCAGTCCACAACGGGTGCAAGGTGCCGATTGGGGTGATGCGCAGTATGGCCCAGCACCCCAACCTGCACCTCAACCATCCACCCATCCTAGCTACTCCGGTATTCGGCATGCCAGTAGCCAGCTGCCTGACAAAGCATCCTACGCCAGTCCGTACCCGGAGAGAGAGTATTACGTAGAAGCCCAAGTCGAAAGACGCAGGCCGCACCACGCAGACCAGACCCGGGAGGAGGACCTCCCAGGGCACCCACATGACATGCCAGCAGCCTGTCGCAGCATGCCGGACCCCGATCTGGGCCCCAGGAGTCAGCATTGGGAGCCCAGAACACACCAACGATATCCAGCGCACTCTGAGACAGACCGTGGGTCAGATTCAGAGGATGACGCGCCGTACCGCGAGTCAGGACTCTGTGTACGTCAAATTGAATCCCTAGCTAAGGACATAGAACGCTTTGATCCTAACACCAGCGAATCCAACGTCGACGACTATCTCAGGGAGATAGAACGTTGTCTGCTTGATCTTCCAGCACCCTCTTCAAGGGAAAAGCTCAAGCTAATTTGGAAAACCACCTCTAGGACTGTGCATGGTTTCATGGAAACTCCGCCACCTGACATTCGAGATCGGTTCTCCTCTCTCTGCCGAGCATTGAGGGATGAATATTCTACGTATGCAGACTCTGCATTAGCTACAAGGGGGGCCTTCTCCATCAAACGCGGAAGGAATGAACCCCCCAGAGAGTATTACCGCCGACTCAAAAGTGCTTATTTCCAAGGTCGAAACGGCCCTGGTCTTGAGGAAGACCCTGCCTACAGATCCCTCTTCCTTCATAACCTGCACGAGTGTGTTCGCTTCGAAGTCTCAATGTATTGTAGGA